TATAGTTATAAAACTAATTGAATCTATGAGCAATAATAATAATAAATACAGATTTGATTGTAAACCATTCAGTTTCGTCGAACAATGAATAGAATTCACAATTCCAACATTGTTTTAATTAAAATTTTGCCAACACCTGAAGGTATTTTCTCAGATTTAATCCTTGCAAGTTGCAAGAGTATGAAATGTTAGGTTACACCCGGACTTAGATCTTCCTTACTTATTCATAGTAATTTCGATTTATTATGCCACTCTGAAGTGCAATTTTTCCACAAAAAACGGAGCCGTCATTCTGTCCTTCGATAATTATCGAATTTCATTACTTGTAATGTTTTTTTTCGGATTTGAGATAATTTTAAGCAGAAAAATCTTCCTCACCGCTAGACATATTTTTTTGTAGGTCCTCCTGGAGATGGACTGCTGAATCAAGGGAATCCAAAATTTTTCAAAATTAATTGCCGATTATTAAAGCACATTAAATTCTGTAAATGTGAATTTTTTTTGAAGAAAATTACTTCATAATAATTTATAGTGTTTTTCTAACTTGCATGTGGATATAACCCCTTAATATAAAGTTTTGCTAAAACCTAAAGATATTGCTCCTGTCTTGAGCCTCGGCAGAGTATAAATTAGACAAAAATTGTTTTAAAAAAATGTGTAAGCTTTTATAAAAATAACAACATTAGGTCAATGACATAGTCATTGTTAGTAATTAGCATTTATTCAACTCAATTCACATATGCAAGTAAGTATGTATGTACTGGTATATATGGTTGTGTTCAAAAGGATTCCCCGAACATATTTGGTTTTTGTTTTCATTTTATTGCCAAATATGGTAATTATTAAGTCTTATGTGTTTTTAGACACATGTCTTATGTGTTACATGCATGCTTAATATAAAGGGGTATACAATTATACCTCAACAATATTAAACAGTACTGCTGCTTCCGGCAGTGTTGGAAAAAACGATTCTTCGAAGAAAGTAAGCTGAGAACTCGAGTTCAAAATGTCTCAACTGAAACTTATTACGCCTCACAGCTGCTTTGATTATCTGAGGTTAAAAGAACAACCTAATAGCTAAACTAAAACTAATATTTCGGTTGTTCTTGAAACCAGCTGATGTTATTAAAAATCAAATGTTTTATTCAAAGGAGGGAAGAACAATACCCGGTCCACGGCTTACTAGTGAATGTTATTTTAGAACAACTAAATCGGTAGAACACAGTTAACTGTTCACTTGGAACACCCTTTAAATGTATTTACATATATAAATAGAACCATACAAGTATGTGTGTTTATTTCTAGTTATTCAGCAGATGGAAATACATTTTGCGGTACTTTTCTTATTAAAAACAGTAATATTAAAGCAGGAACTAAATTATTATTGTAATTCATAAAAAACACATGTAAACTGTAATTAATAGACATAATATGGTTGCATTATATTATATCACTTCTATATTTGTAGTTCTACAATATTGATGGATTAACTTCTAAAACCGAAAAAAATAACAATAATAACAATAAAACTTTAATGGACGGCTGTGTTTAGAACTGTATCATTCTTTAATAATTCTATATACTATCGCAACATGTTGCTAGAGAGTATTATAGTTTTGTTCGCCTAACAGTAATTGGTAACACCTTAAACTAATCGAAATAGATATAGATATATAGATAGTTACAAATATATCTCAATACGATCAGGATGAGGAAGCGAGTTGATACAGTTATATTAAACACTAATAAACGTATTATAATTATCTAAGAAAGCCCGTCTGAATCAGTAATTTAACCGTATAGATAGTAGACAGGTATTAAAATTGGGCAATGGGCGTGGCACCTCCAACTTTTAGGTCTTATTTCAACAACTACTCGACAAATTTGAAGCAAATTTTGCAAAAAAACATATCAGTTCCCTGGCACTCTCACCTTACAGTGAAATGAAATGCATTTTTTCTAAGAATAATTTGATCTGATTTTACGAAACGTTTAAAGTTGGTTCAGTACTTCCCCTGGTCTACGTATAATATAATAATTTTCGAACTTCCGGTTTGTTTTATGCCGTGTAGGTATATCGGCCAATACAAGTTATATTTTAATAAAATTAAGAGGACATGTATTCTTGACCACCTCCATCCTGTATACTTAATTTTAAGATTTGCGCCTTTTTTATATTCTTTTGCCAAATTAGTTTGGGTTATTATGTGAGATATTTTAATGTAGAGTTACATGTTGTTTAAGCAACCGAAAATCTTAATGAGAAATATTTTTCAATTTTCTAATCCCAACAAAAAAAAATTATTTAAAAAAAAAAGAATATTCCAAGTTTATAATTAAACAACTAAGGAAGGGCTAAGTTCGGATGTAACCAAACATTTTATACTCTCGCAAAGTCAAATGGTATACTCGTTTGAGATTGCTTTGTGGATTGACTGATATTTTCGGTAGAAGGTCAACTATAGGCACTGGGGTCCACATATTTAGTACTTAGGGCTTGAACAGTTTTGGTTCGATTTAGACAATTTTTAGTCACAAGGTGGCATACTTTAAACGTATTATTCACCCAAAGTTTTATCCCGATATAATCATTGTTGCTTGATATGCATAGTGGAAAGTGAAATAATCAGATGAAATTGAAAATGTGTTATATGGGAAATAGGCGTGGTTGTAGTCCGATTTCGCCCATTTTCGTACTATAACATAGAAATATTAAAAGAACGTTATGCACCGAATTTGGTTGAAATCGGTTTAGCGGATCCCACGATATGGGGTTTCACCTAAAAGTGGGCGGTGCCACGCCCACTGACTAATTTTGAACGCGGTTCCTATAAAGTCATCTCATACCATCCCAGAGATAAAATTTAATGTCTCTGGCGTGTTTAGTGCTTAGTTTATCGCGCTTTTAGAATTTTTTAACAGTACAGTTATATGGGGAGTGGGCGGGCTTGTCAACTCAATTTCACCCTTTTCACACTGTCAATAGAGGTTCTAAAAACATTTGCTTGCAGTGAATTTTGTTATTATAGCATTAGCGGTTTAGGAGATATGCACATTAAACATATTAGGGACGGGACCACGCCCACTTTAAAAAAAAATTTAACTGCAGATGCCCCTCCCTAATGTGATCCTGTGTACCAAATAACAGTCTTGTATCTTATTGCGGAGCTTAGTTATGACAATTTATTTGTTTTTGATTAATGGCGTTTTGTGGGCGTGGCAGTGGTCCGATTACGCCCATCTGCAATACCAACCGTCTCACGGTACCAAGAAACATGTCTACCAACGGATTTCAACTCGTCTCTTCATCGTGATCATTTATATATAATATATATAACCCTATATTTATCTAGTTTTAGGTGATACAAACAACCGTTAGGTGAGCAAAACTATTATACTCTGTAGCAACAGGTTGCGAGAGTATAAAAATTAAAGTATTTGTTTTTGAATTTTAAATTTTTTCACGTTTGCGTACTTCGTATTCTACCATTTAAATGGTAAACTAACAAAATTTTTAAAAGGAAAGTTTATTTTTAATGTAGTAACTACTTGTATGTTGAAGTTTTTGTCTTATTTACATTAAATTACTTAATTATTACTAATTATTGTTTTTCAGTTAGAAATAGGTAAACCTTTCCAACAGCTTAGAATGCCCGAAATGTGAAATGTGGTACCTATATACTGGATTATAAGACCCTTACAGATCGACAAAGCGCTTTGAGCCTATCACAAAATTGTTGAGACAGCTTATATCAGTTGCGGCTATGTCTGCTGGTTCGACGAAAGTGAGATTACCAAGGTGTTTTAGCGTCAATCTAGCAAAGGCAAAGGAGAAAGTACTTTTACAACTTGCGTCTGCCAAGGTTTTAAGCCTTACCGCCTATCGGACAGTCTTCAGTAAGAACTCCTACGATTGCGGCAAGATGACTTTGCTCAGGGCAAGTAGTTCAGTAGATATCTTGTATTCTACTCTATGCCAGAGAACCTGCTGAGAATCCACGAGGTCCATTGGTCCAGTGCTATAACGCAAGATGCCAATTGTGATCCAACTCGGCACCATTCCGATGTAAGCGGTGCAAGGGTGCCCCATCTGGCTATCCCATCGGCTTTGCAGTTGCCAGCGATTCCAGCGAGCTGTGACCAGGCACGAGTCTGATGATGAAGTGGCTTTTTGCTATTTCTAGTGAGGACAGGCAGCTTTGACTAGCTTTGAGCGTACAGTTAGCGAGCTCGTCGCTAGTATTGCCGCTCTGCTGTCGGAGTGAATGCTCACCTCCCTGAAAGAGGTTGCACTTCGTAGCAGTATGTCGATGACCACCTTCTTCAGCCACTTCTGTCTGAATTGGTATGTAAGGTGTATACATAGGTAAACTCAATATATCACTCACTCAAAAAAACCGATTAGACAAATAAAATCGCGATAATATCGAAACAATATAATTGAAGTAAAACTATTTGAGTATGTACTTGGGACCTCCATAGAGTAGTAGTTAGAGGGACACACTACCCCTACGAAGGGCCTGGGTTCGATTCCGTTTTCCCTTTTGAAGAATCCTAGTACTCAGAAAATATTCTCATAAAATTCATAAACTATTCAAAAATGACGAAAACGTGTAGGAGGACCCTCAATTTCCAGAAAACATTAAGGCCCACTCAACATATAGAATGCCGAGGTAAAAATCATTATTCCTGTTTAACTACAGTCTTTTAAAAGGTATTCACATACCTACATACATATATACTTTATACTAAGTATACAATTACATACAAGTACTTACATTCACACTTAAGTACACAAGAATGCACTCGCTCATTTAATGCACTGTCATCAAAAGAGTAACGTCAACAGAGGAATTAAAATAACTACATACACGCGCACATATGATTATCAATAGCACCGTTACACTATGGTAAGTCACTCAACTATCATTTGAACATTATCAGCCGCCAATAAATATGTTTTCTAAAAATGTATAAATTTTTAACGCTTATATACTCACCAAATTGGCACCACACGTCCGCCGGCGCCTTCAACAAATTTCACATACGAAGCGGCAATGTAGCTGCTGTACTCTTTATCGGGATAATTGCGGCGCACGAAATTTGAAATTTCCTGCGTTAGGATGCCGATAATTGGACGCGTATTCTCCGCATTGACATTCACCGTTACGTCATCGTTGATATCGAAGTACCTGCTGGCAAGCTGACGACCGCCGACGCGTGCGACAGATCCATTAATCGCGGATAAAATCGAAAGGGCAGTCAAAACTGTTGTCGCTGTGACGCTGGTCGACGAATTGGTGTCGCTAAAGATCACACTTAAGCGCATTGTTGGGCGAAGCAGGTAATTGCGCGGGCGTCAAGCGTTAAATGATGAACGTATCGCAGTTATGCGTGTGTGTATGTATGTAAGCACGTGAAATTTTTATTTTTAATCACGTTTCTGCACTTGCGAAAATAACTTCTGTGGGAGCGCACCTTCAGCGCTCGACTGTGACAGCGAGTAGCAGACTTTTGAATATTTACAGGTAAGCAGCTTGAAGTAGCGCGCGCTATATACTGCATACCTATCTACATATGTATGTGCGTGTGTAGTTTGGTGTGGTGGTGCAGCGGAGGAGCGGTTGAGCTAAGCACTTGAATTCATATGTTACACACTTCCAGCGCACTGTGCCATACATGCCAATCAAGTTTTAATTTTTAATTGGGCGCCATGTTTTGATTAACGAATTGTGTGCGCTGTGTAATGCATATATGTGTGTGTAGGCAAACGGAGAAGAGCAAAAAATATTAAACTGATATAAACAATCAAAATCAAATGAGGGAAATAATATCGATGGTGTTGAATGATGTGTTTGTGTAGTAGGCGAATATTTACATTTGTGTGTGTTTGTAAGTTGCACATAGCAAGGAAGGTGGGAAATATAAAACATAAATTACAGTTAAAATAAACACATTACTAGTTGTTTATTTGCTATCAGAAAATTTCACGCCACTTAACGTTATCTTAGATATACCTTACATACATAGTTAAAAAATTAGAAAAGAAATAATAGGTTATTATATTATTAATATTATATTATTAATAATGCTTGCAATTCCTTCAAAAGTTTTATTATTAAAATATATTATTTAATTTTTAGTGCAGTTTTAACTTTCATTTAAACTCAAAAATTAAGTTTTCATTTTAGCTTGTAAAAGTATAGGTAACAACACTGAACCAAAAAATTCGGTGAATTTACAATATATAACAAAAGTATTCGTAAAATATATAAACTTAAATTAATTTTACTCTTAATTAATATCTTGTAGCATATTCATTCATTTTATAACTTCTTTTAATCTTATTTTGTTTGCCCCGTAGACATTTCTCCCCACTCTTTGAGAATTGCTTCTTGGATGCCGTTTTTAGATGTTATTTTGTGTTCTTTCAAATTTATCTTTCATAAACGGCTTTATTCGTGGGGTTCGACCATTATAGCCAGCAGCCCTAAGCGTCCTGCGTATAACTTCATCACTGACAAGTATTCCAGCATACTGAGCGAGGCACAATATCGACTTTATCACGACTTTAAAGTTTTTCCGGCCTTCCTGATTTCTCTGCAAAATGTTGTGGATGGTTGGTGGATTTTCATATATGCTGCAACCTTTTTCCTTTCTTTCGAAGATTATATATTATTTTCCTTTCTTCGAATGTGCTTTCTTTAAATTTTCTTCCGATATTTTACACAATTAAGCGTATTGTTCACAAACAAAAACAAAATGGCCGGATGCTAGTAAATTTTTATTTAGACTGAACGTAAATTGCTACTGGCAGCTTAGAACGCCAGCAACTAAAACGGGACCCATGCAGAGCCTGCTAAAAACTAAATTTGCGATTAATTTTGCGATGTTGGTTCGGTCAAGTTTATACTTAAAGGAGTTTAAATTCATATTGTTGTTCAAATAAGTTTGTTTTTTATTTTAAGCCCAGTTACAACTTTATTTTGAGTAATGACAATGGTTTCAAACTATAATTATACAAGAAAAAAAGCTTTTGGAGCTCTTTTAACCACCAAAATATCATTTTCGAAGACTTTTATGAGGCACTGTACATATGTACATTAGGTTAGATAAGTACTTGTAGTACATATGTACATACATATAATATATACTTTTTTTATAATTAGGATAATAGTCCACTCATAATGCACATGTAGTATTTATTTGACAATATTTAAATATTAAACCTGACAAAAAAAAGTTGATATATTTAATAAAAATAAACTTAGCGCAGCCAACTGCAGTGTAGGTACCAAAGAACCTGTTATTAAATTATGCTTAGTTCACCGTTTCAGCAAACGGGGAAGTACGCGTCGCTGAAACTTTTTTTTGCTAATTTTTATTTTAATAGCAAGAACTAAATGTAATTTGGAAAGGAAATTGTATCATTTGAACACTGTGAAGCTGTATTAATTTGAATCTACACACGTGATCAACTTACACCTTTGCTGAATACTTAGCTGAGTTCATCTTTTAGCTTATCTCCTCTTCCAAGCGGAGGACAGCAATTAAAGAAAGCCTTCTTGTACTGACAGGGAGTGCGATCACAACAAGAAATATGTTAATGTATATACATACATATAGACAGTCAGGCGGCTTTGAGATTGCTAATGTCCCCTAGGATTTCGTCTAAGACAGTGAAAGAATGCCTTGGTATCTTAGCGGATCTGACATCCTATTTCACGATAAACCTATAATGGGTCCCAAAACATAGGAATGAGCTTGCCAGGCACCATCCTACAATTAGATTCCGGTAAAGAGGGCATATACTCGTATATGCCTCTGGCTACTTGTAGATTTTTAATCGACAAACATGTTATAAACTTAGCTGAGTCTCAGTCTCAGCGGAATCAATTCCTCACTTGCTCAACAAGAAAGCAAACGTGGCATGAATGGAATATGAGCCGCGCATGCCGACTGTTAAAACCCAAACGGAATGGTATAAGAACTCTAGTAGGAGTACTAACAGGCCACTGTCTAATATGCAGACATGCCAGTAGACTTGGAACGCCATATAATGACTATTGTAGAAGCTGTCAGAAGGTAGAAGAAAAGGAGACCATTACACATATTCTATGCGATTCTAAGGCTTTCTATAGAAAAAGTATCGCAGCCATCGGCCGAGAGTTTCTTGACGACGTCTCGGAGGTTGCACGGATAAAACGTGTCTTACTGATGAAGTTCATCAAAAGTACGGGGTGGTTCATAGAGGAGTCAATAGAGTGCCCTCACTTTGGTCCCCGGTGGTATTACAATGGGCCTCCTAAAGGCCTAGGTGTGTCGAAAGACAGCCACTTTACCTACTTGCCTAATATCTTCTAAACTATTCAAACTTTTGAGTTGCGTCCAAATTGAAATTTATTTTTCAAAATCCGGTTTTCTCCAAAATAACTCCAAACTTGTTGACATTTTAACACTATTCAAGGAAAAGTAATACTGTGTATGCAAACCTTTTCCCTCTATCATAGTTTGCAGTCTTTTATTTACATACACTAGGTAGAAAAAGTCTCCGCTCACTGGGTACAAAATCTTTTAAACCAAAATAAAAGTTTGTCCAATTAATTAAAGTTTGACCAATTTTGTTTTAAGAATTTATTTTCTTTTCAAATAATTCAAGAAACAAAAGCCACAGGGTTCATTGTAATTTTAAAAACAATTAACTTAAACTTAATTATAAAAAATTTAATAGCTGGTGGGGTGGCCTCGAAATTTTAGAGCTTCTGCTAGACGTTTAGGCATGGAATGTACTAATTTTCTTGTGTCTTGGGCTGACATTTTTCTCCATTCGTCCGGTCTCTATATGTGTGCCAGCTCTGCGCTCCAATAGAGCCCATAAATGCTCAATTGGATTGAGGTCAACATTGTAAAGAAGCCAAAGGCGAACAAGTTCCGCTGTATGCTTAGGATCATTGTCCTTTTGGAAACAAAATACGTTTGGCAATCCTAATTTGTCAGCACTTTGCTTCATTTGTCGTTTTAAAATATTTAGATAATCAAATTTATTCATTATATTTTCGATAAACCCAATACCACTAACCCCACTTGCTGCCATACCCCCTCAATTGAACTCCACTCCCACCATGCTTTACGGTTGAAGTAAGATTTCGCGCTTCAAAGGCCGTACCAGTTTTTCGTCACACCATATGTCTTCCTTTTATTCCAAATACACAATATTTGGTCTCATCCAACTATAAAACCGATTGCCAGAAAGATATAGGCTTGGTTATATGTTCGTTTGCGAATGCAGTGCGCTTCATACGATTTTTTTAAGGAAATGGATGGCTTTTTGCGTGCCCCTCGCCCATGATAACCAGCCCTTTTTAATATTTTTTGCTGTGTCGCTGCATATTGATTTTTTAAATTGTAGTTTTACATCTTCTGCTCTTTAGGAAACGGTTAAACGCTTATTAACCTTTACAGGAGATACAACTTTGCGTGTTTCCCGATTAGTCAATATTCCAAGACGTCCAGATCGAGGCTTTGAAGTAATAATTTCCTTTTTTTTGAAAGTCGGGATGACGTATCGCACTGATGACTCCCGCTCTGTTAATAACTCGTCCAATTTCACGAAAGCTTTTACTGTCATCCCTTAATTTTAAAATTATTTTCCGCTCATCAACACTTATTTCTTTGCCTTTTGCACTCATTGCGATTAACGCTGAATAATTTGAAACATTTACTCACAAGATTGCAGATTTTTCCTTCGATTATCTAAATCTGTATTATTAACAACAACGCACAAAAAATTATCAGGTCTTAAACGCGTAGAAACTATAATAAACTAATGTAATAAGCAGTGAGCGGATACTTTTTCTGCTTATTTTCCATTAGTAGAATTCAAAAAATGTCGTTAACTTTGCAAACGCACATAGGAATTCCATGAAATTTGGCGACTGTAATGCTATTAGCATGCGCATCTGATATTCTGAAAAGAACTTCAAAAACGCATATATTTTATTAATATTTTTATTGAAGCACATTCCACGGATTGGTGAGCGGAGACTTTTTCTACCTAGCGTATATAATGCACCAAATATTGTGTAAGTTCAGGAGGTACATAAGTATATTTTCCCATATTTCCTGATGAGCAGCTATAACCTAAATTTTTTATTAAAGCAGTGGCCACCATTTAAATTGATTGTACTCCCACTACACTTCTCTTGCTTCCATTGCACCACACAACAGAACGCAGCCGCCTCCATGCTGACAGTCCTATTTAATTTTTTATCTTTTTTAAAAATCGACGATTAATTAATTTGGGACTCATCTGTAAAGATTACAGAAGCCCAAAATTCGTTATCACAGCGGATGTAGAAGCACCAGTCTTTGGCTGTTCATTAAAATAGCAGTGCGTATCTTGATAAATAAAAAAAATTTTGTTAAGACGTTTAATTGATAAAAAAGTAAGTGGTTTTGTGTTAGTGACTATTACTAACATTAGAAAACACTAAAATAAATTTATATTTTTTAACATAGGGGGCAGGGGCAAACATTGTACTCCTGAAAAAATAAATATTATAATGCAACTAAGAAACCTGGGAAAAACATATAAAGACATCCAAGAAATATGTGGATGTTCTGCTAAAATGATTTATAATGCTTTAAACTTTAAAGAAATGCCCGAAAATCGTGGTATCCAACGTGAAACCACACCTCATGAGGACCGATCTATTGTGCGATATAGCAGGGCGCAGCCTTTTGCATCGTCCAGCAAGATAAAAAATGACTTAAGCTTGAATGTTAGTGGCGTTACTATTCGGCGACGTCTTTAAGAACAAAATCTCAAAGCGTACCATCCACGAAAAGTTCCACTGTTAGCCACCAGACATGTCAAAGCACGTTTCGAAACGTCGTTCACCAAAAATCACCTTAATTGGCCCATTACAAAGTGGCGAAATATTTTATGGAGTGACGAAAGTAAAATTGTGTTATTTGGTGGAAAGGGCTAAAGACAATATGTCAGACGTTCACCTAACACAGAGTATGATCCTAGGTACACTTTGAAGACCGTTAAACACGGCGGATTGAGTATTATGGTATGGGCATGTTTTTCTTACAGTGGAGTGGGCCCTATATTCATGATTGATGGGATCATGGATCGATCTGTATATGTTAACATATTAGAAAATTTTATTTTTCCTTATGCCAATTGGGAAATGCCACTAAAATGGACGTTTCAACAAGATAACGACCCCAAACATACAAGCAAACTGGTCAAAGGCTGGATGGCTTCAAAGCGGATCGATCTTATGTCATGGTCCGCGCAGTCTCCGGATTTAAATCCAATTGAAAACATATGAGATGTTAAACGATATGTTGCAAATGCAAATCCAACATCTCGATCACAGCTTTAGGAGGTTGTTCAAAAATCATGGGAGCGGATCCCTGTCAAGCGCTGCCAGGACTTGATGGATTCTATGCCTCGCAGATGCCAGGCCGTAATAAAAAATAATGGGTACACGACTAAGTACTAACCCAAGCAAACAAATTAAAATAGTTTTTTGGAGTTCAACAATGTTTTTTTCAACTAATTCCACTGTTTTCATTACTCACTGCTATTTTTATGAATAGCTGTAAACAGCACTTTTTTGTTTAAATTAATAATGTAAAAAAAATTAACAACATTTTGAATAATAAATTGATTTGTTTTTGTTCAAAATAATCACAAAGTTAAAACAAAATTAAATTTGTGAACATTCATTTACTTTTTGATGTATAAGTTTAAAGTTGCAGCTCATGAGCACTGCTATTTTTATGAACACAGCTGTAAGTACTCTTTGGAATATAAAAAACGTTTCGCAATATTTCTCTTCGATAAGTTTATCTGGTTTCGTTTTACGCTTTTAATTAGTTGAAACCAAGAAACTTCCAACTCCACCAGTCTTTTTGAATTAAGCAATAATGTACTGAATAATAGTATGTGTTTGTTTTTTAAAATATTGACTATTTCGCAAGTAATTTTTTTCTTTTACTAATATTTGACAACCCGAGCCTGTATATCTTTAGATGTTTGTTTTTTCCCCATTTTTTCTTTTAATCTACAGACGCACAAAATAAATTCACTTACCAAATAATTCATTTTGACCATACTCAAATAATACCAGATAAAAATAACGGCGCCTACTTGATAACTGCATTTAAAATGTGGCCAGCCTAAGTGTACAAGTTATATTTTTTTTGGCGTGAGATATTTTAATTTTTTTGCAATAGTTACCATCAAAATCAATTTATTGTTAAAATGTTTATAAATATTCTAAAAATACAATGCTATTGTTACTCATGTCGGCAGTTTAAAAGCTGAAGTAGTTTAAGAGGAAAGTCCCTTCAAAGTCAAAGCATATGTATACAAGTTATGTTTGGTTCACTATTTGTTACCTAATATTTATACATACATTCACTTGATGGCAACTCTAGTGCGATTATTATAACCTTGTTATTAAATTTTTAAGACAAAGTACAATAAACTTGCTTGAGATCATGAAAAATCTTTCTTATACTTGTACTTTAATTTTTTTTTTATACACATCGCGCATAGAATGCTCCGAAATCAAATACTAAATATTTATACACATAGACACTTATTTTACCCGAGTACGACACACTTTTAAGCGATACTAAATCCGTCTCGTCCAATGTCTCTATTGTGCTGCTAAACTCATTTAAACAGCTGATAGCTGCCGTATAACTGTTTTTTTTTCTCTTTACGTTCTCTCTCTTTACAGTTTGTATGTTTACCTTGTGCACATGTACATATTTACTTATAGCTGCCGACAACACAATAACTCAAAAATATAATATTAAAAGCAGATTTGTTGATAACAATAAACGACAGAGTATTAAATCAACAGAACTTCGCAGATAAGGCAATAAATTCCGTGAAGAAAGCGGGATGTTTGTGCACCATTTCAGCAAGCAAAAAGCATATGTTTATTAAACCAATTATATATAATTATTATGTATTCAAAATTAACGAAGAAAACAGCCAATATGATTATTTCAGAGGACACTGTTAGATTGGTGACCTTCTGAAAGCTTAACCACCCATCATTTTTTGCAGCTTATTCTTGATACTCTTCTGAACACTTAGCAAATACTTCATTTTGACTAGTAGCAACTTTGCCGCAGGCAGCGCTTTTGACTCAAATGCGATGCTTAACTCCTTTACAGCTTCGTTTAATTGTTGCACAATACTTTCATTAAGGCGCTCCAAATCTTCACTGGACTTCGCGTCCTCCACTTCCTCATTGAGTTCCATCATTTCCATAAGAAACTCCTTATTTAAAGTGCTATTATCCTGCGGCATTTGCTCCCCTTCCAGCTTTAATAAATATTGACCACGCTCTATTGGAGCCGACAGAGTTTTGTAAGCTCTATTTATTAGGGCACTCCAGTCCGCAGAGTTATTCTGCTCCCTCGATGTTCTATAGCAAACGATAATGTAGAACAGAACATCAAAATCATAAAAACTATACTCACCTGTTGCTGAATTTGTCCGGATGTACCAAGGTTTGTAGTTGTCGAAATCGTCGCGTTAGCTCTTGCTGTTCCAATGGGAAATTGTTTGGAAAATTAAGCAAATGAAAGTAGTTCTGAAAAATCACAATTATAAATTTAACTACTGAATAACAAAGTAAATCGAATTTGGTATTACAATTTCCATATCTACATCTTGTAAGAAGCCACATGACAAGCACAACATATGATTTTTACGACCATTCTCTTTACAGTTCCAACATGCGTTTTCATCCATTGAGCTGGTTGTTGGCACATATTTACGAATTTGCTGTGTCGCAATATACTTTGAAGAATTCCTAATTGTGTTTGATTTTGCAGCTCTAATAACAGCATCCTTCCCTTCTTCTACAAACTTAGGAACAATGCAAAAATTAGCTAAACTTGGTAGATGCGCGCAATCCACATTGTTGTTCAACTCCAAACGAATAGTATGCAAACATCTCGATAAACGCCGCATTATATAACCGTGCAGTAAATCTATAAAATTTGAACTTATTTCGTTTTTGAGAAGAGATCCCTTACTTACAACTTGTACTAGAGGCTTATCTAATTCGCGTAACTCTTTAACTAATAATAAAGAATATGAAAACAAAACAAACCATAATTAAATGACATTCAATCATTTAAACGAAATGTGTTGCCACACGGAACTAAACTAATCAAACAGTTTTCGTAAGCCCCTTAGGAAATTCTACATATCGCACCACATTGACCACGAGTAAACTAGAAATACCTTTGCAGTTAGTGTTAAAGTCGTAGTCATTTGAAGTGGGATTATTTGATTTATATCGTAGCAAGTCGTGACTACCGTAAACATATTGCATTTAACGCACTGTCGCGGAAGAAAACACATACACACCGTGCACGATGTAAATTCGGCTTTAGGAAACTGATAGAAACTTTAACAGAATAGCGTTGTTAGATAATTATCCGGTAAGTGACTTGCGGTGTGTTAAAACTGTTTCTGATTACGAAATACCTTTTCACAGTCTGGCTACTTTATTTTCTATTTACATCATACATTTTTCGTATGGTAGCATGGCTTCCACATTTTCGTTTTTATTTTGCATAAATACAAACAAATTCTATTATTTGCAAGAGGAAATTTGTGAATTAATGAACACCAAATTTTTTTGCATTATTGAAAATAGTAAGTGTAAATTAAATATCAGTTTATTCAGTTTTCATTGCGTAGAGAACTTATTCAGTTATGTCGAACGAAATTCAATTAAGTAAACGAATCTCGTGGCTGTTGCGCCATGGAGCTGAACAGGAAGGAATCCCCATACGTGCCGACGGATTTGTGTCTGTGAACTCCATTCTGGAACACCCAAAATTTGGAAGAGACATCAATTTAAGAACACTACAAGAGATCGCAAAAAAAGATAAAAAGCAACGTTATACGCTGAGGCAAAATATCGATGACTTATGGGAAATACGTGCTAACCAAGGTCACTCAATGGTCACTGTAGTGGCATCGCATTGTTTTCAGCGCATTTACAACTCCGATGAAATTAACATAGCGGTACATGGCACATACTACCGTTATTGGGAACGAATACTCTTGGAAGGACTTCGTACTATGAAACGTACATATGTGCATTTTGCCACGTACGACGACATCCGCAAATATAATCAAAAAAATAATGCTGTTAGTGGTTTTCGTAGTGATTGCGAGCTGCTGATATATTTGGATGTTCGAAAAGCTATGGAGCTCGGCAGAATGGAAATATATCGCTCCACAAACAATGTTATATTGTGTGCGGGAATTAATGGTTGCATATCTAAAGACTACTTCCAAAAAGTTGTAGACAGGCGCACGAAGAAAACATTATGGTTTTAGTTATTTGCTGAAATTTGGTTTTGTAGACATGTAATGTACATTATATAGTAAATTTTTCCAAAAAAAAAAATAACACCGTATATCGATATTGTTTTATTAAACTTTACAGATGAGTCATTCACCGACTAAAGCACCTCTATCCAAATCCATGATTACAAATTCTACTAGCAACAATGACACAACTGAATTTAAATGTACCATATGTGCTCAAAAATTCAATACTATCCAAGAATGTTTGAAACACGAACTTTTGCAGCATTCTACTAAAAGAGCAAAACGACCTCAAAAGACATTACGCACCAAAGTCAACGCTATCCTTGCAAATATAAAGACGGATGCACAACAATCATTACAAAAAGAATTACTGAATGCTCTGCATAAGTGTGAACCAGGCCAAGAGCTTCGTAGTATTTTTAAACATCACAGAATGAATGACGAAAATTTAAGTTTGGTTTATGAACGCATCGAAGCTTGTCTAGAAAAGGAATTACAGCCGTTAAGAGGGCTAAGGCTCCATCCTTTTGGATCCATTGCAAGTGGCTTAGCTTTAAGAGGTTAGTGGTTGACACAAATTTATTTGGGTATTTCTATTTTGAATTTTTTCCATTCACAGACAGTGACATCGATTTGTATATTGAGCATGTCGACGCCACCCAAACAACATTAAAACTCATTCACCGAACATTTAATCGTATCAATAATATTTTACAACGTAGTAACTGCTTTAGTGAAGTTATTCCGATACGCCAAGCTCGTGTACCGATTATAAAATGTAAGCACAATCCCACTGGATTCAGTTTGGACATAAATTTGTCTTGTCCAAGTAGTGTGAGCAATACGAAATTCGTGCGGGACCTTCTGCAATTCGACAACAGAATTCATGAATTAATTACGTTCCTTAAAATATGGGCTAAGCAGTTACAATTAATTGGTCGAGGGAATATGACCAGCTATTGCCTTATAACATTGGTGTTATTTTATTTACAACAACCTCAATCGAATCAATCGGCTGTGCTGCCAGCAGTTAAGGATCTGCAAGAGAATGTTCCTGATAATTTGATAATGGGTGTGAATTATGCGTATCAACTTCAAGAGAAAATATCGCCGATACCACAAGAATTGACAACTTCAAAACTAATTGAAGGCTTCTTCAAGTTTTATAGCAGCCTTGAGTTCGAAAATTTGCTTTTATCTCCATATTTGGGGAAAACGATACCACTTGATGAGTTTAAAAAAGGTATCTTCAGTTTTCCAGCCTATAATAATCAATTGTGTGCTGTGGCCATAATGAATAACGAACCTGTACAACCGATTCAGGTCAGTGAGAATATATTAAAAAGTAATATTCAATAACACCTCCATTATTAGAAAAATATCCAAACATAAAAATATACGTAATTTTTTTTCTAGGCTGATCGTTGTGTTTGTGTACAAGATGCGTTTGCTCTAGGCCATAATGTTAGCAAATCGATATCTCAACTCAATTTGGAATATTTTCGAAAATGCCTAAATCTTGCTTGTGATGTATACGAAGAAGCAAACATTTCAACAGATGCTCAGCGATATGAGGCACTGCTTTACGGAATTATTAATCGGATGGCTCAATCGGTGAATATAAACTTTAACTTCACAAGCCAAAAAACAGACAAACATTCGCCAGCAGATAATTCTAATAATAGTACCGGCACCGTACGCAGTAACAATAGTCCTTACAAATTGAGTTATAGTCTCACTCCCTCGCGTTCAGAATTACGAACAATCGTAGCGCTTATTGAAGAAAACAATTCGGAGCCCATTTACAAATTATGGGCTAAGTATTATTTAGAAGCCATTACCGAAATAATTACAGAAATCTTCTGTTTGGACATGCAGTCTGCCACACCCACCCAAAGTGACAAACAACAGCGGTTGGACGAATATAGCGGCTCTCACACTTGGCTAATAAGTGGCTCAGTTGATCAGTGGTCGGGTCGTATGCATCAGCGCTGCCATAATAAAACTTTTATGGAACTGCAGTTGGAGCAAACTAAAAAATTTACCTCGGAAAGACGACAAAACGCTGCATATGCTGTACAATTAAATGCCATCTTAACTCTGAACATATTAAATAATTCCACTGCCATTGAGTTGGTAGTGACACCGCGTAACACAAAGGGTGTGGGTCTAATAAAGAATGACCCTCTGAGGAAGTTCTTCGCTAGTTTTAAAGCAAGCATGCAAAACTTTAATCTAAAGGAAAAACTCAAAAACGAACGCATCAAATAAATCTTTATCTATCATTGACACGATTCAAATGTATTTATTGTACAATATTTTTATTTTTGAAACTGACATTAAAGGGTACATATAATATTTTGTAAAATTAGGTTGAATAAAGTTGTATTTTATAGTTAGCCGGAAAAAAGTGAAAGTTCAAGTATGTTTTACCCTATCTTTAATCTTATCCTTTTATCTATCCTCTGGTCTATTATGCACTCCGCTCTTATTTAAAGAGGCTTAACGGCGTGACTGGGGAAGGTCCGATTTTGTGCATATGACACCATAACCTACAGTCATTAGTATGCAATGCCACATGCTGCCTCAGTTTGTTTATTGAGCAAAGGGTGAATATCACTATGGATGTTAGTTCGTTCTTTATTATAGTTTTAGGTCTATGCTGCCCTTTAGTTCAATCAACCCACTCTGTAGTATATTATATGGGTTAATTGATCTGATGCAACCGCAGCCGTAAAGTGCGTTCTCCAAAAAGCTTTAGTTCTGTCCTCTAAACGTTTTGTGATCTAATCAGACTTCCTGATTGCTAACTCCGTAGCCCTTTTAGCAAGAGTTTTATATAGTTTAGTCGCCGTTAGGATTAAATAGACTTTTCACAAAATTCTTGAAACTCAATTCCGTACTGTATAATATAAGGATATCTGTGTACTGTTATGTATATATACTTGTAGATCAAAATGATTAGAATGACGAGGTCCGCCCGTCTTCCAATCTCCATCATTGAGTAAACATTTAGATATCTTGATGAAACATTACAAATGTGTTTCTGGGTGCTATGAGTTGTATGGAAAAATTTAAAAGAGTTTATCAAACAAAAATAACACAAATTGAGCTACAAAATTGAAATTTCTAGGTGTATAGAAAGGAAATAAAGAGACGTTTATTTCTGGATGTCTATTTGTCTGTCCGTTCGTCCGTGCGAGCGATAAATCAAGATATAATGATGAAACTTGATATACGCTTGCTTTGGCATTACAAGTATAAAAAAGGTTAATATTGCAGATATCAGGGAAAATCGGCCCATTGCCACGCCCACAATATGCCGTTGAAGGCGAACCCATGAATAAAGTGCTATAATCAAGCCGCAAATTCAAATTGTAATGCGGTGCACGGCATCCTAGCCTTAAGTTTCACATTCAAGATAGTACGAAAGATCTGCATAGAACTTAATGTAAAAATAGTACATTGAGCGAGACACCACCCAGTTTTAGATGAATTTTTTTACCTCAGAAACTACTCAACCAATTTCAAAGAAATTTGGTGCGTTACGTTATCCGGACATTCTTATGTTACAATGTGAATACTGACTGCAACCGCGCTTACTTCTCAGATATCCGATTTTAAAATTTCATCTGATCCTTTCACTTTATAGTATACTTATAAATCAAGTACCAATGAAGACACCCGAACAAAGCTTTGCACAAACAGTGGCCTTAAGGTACGACGTTTCACGTCTAAAAATGATTGAAATCAGATCATAACTTATCAAGCCCCAGCTACCGATCACCAGACCAGATATAATATAGTTTATCTTATATAATAAATTTAGACTCCTTGATTGAGTTTATATCTCCTTTGAAATGGAAGAAATTATATTAATATAACTAAGTGATTTTATGATACGTATGTATGTACAATATATGTTAATTGTATACCTATTATGGCTGTATTCCTTTGACGGTTTCAGCAAATAATGAATTTTGAACTTAGCCCTACCACTTTTGTTTAATATTAAATATAGTTTTGAAATAAAGATATTTCGCCGCCTTTGAGCCTCGCTTATATTGAGAATATGAAATGTTCAGTTACATCCGAGATTTGTTCTTCCTTGCTTGTTTATTATTGTATAAAGTTTTAGCCCGTTACTTAGCTTTTCCTTACTCTTAATGTTAAATTATAGTAACAACTCACCTGCGGACAATCTACAAGCTTTTGGTTTTTTACAATGGACGTCTCAAAGTACCTTCTAGTGTTTTGGGGGATGTCAACGTTCAACCTTATTTGAGTCTCTTCATTCCTACTGCTGATGGTCATCCAGGCAGAGGAACTCAAACCTTTATTTTGAGCCTTCAGTAGCCTAATCACGTAGTTTTTAGCGAAATTTCTGGGAAGCACTGCCATCCTAACGGTTTTGATGGTATTACGTATTACGAGTAACGTTTCCCCGTTATTATTTGGGGTTTGATGACTTGTCTTGCTCCGGTTATTCGATGAGACGATCAGCACGTTCTATTCTATTATATAAATGCGACGTTCTATCTATAACATAGCCGAATTAACCTCCTAACTTCAAATCAACCAATGGGCACGGTTCCCATAAAACCCTGAGTTAGGAGCTCTAATGTTTTTACACTTATCTGCAGGACGATTGACTGGCGCATACAGAGTATAAGAGCGGCTCGTTGCATTTAAACCCTTCTAGTAAAATTTCAAAAGATTTGAGATATTTGAGAAAGTATTGAAATTACTTATGCTGCAGGTATCGCGCGTTCACAGAATTTTGTGTTACTATACCTGAATTTAAGACTCTGGTACAAGTAAAAAACAAAGTTAAGGATAGCATTGGCGATATTAAATCGGACGAACAACAATTATTGCAAAAGGAGTTGGTACATGCTCTTTATAACTGTGAACCAGGCCAAGAGCTTTGCAGTACTTTCAAACATCACAAAATGAATGACGGGACATTAAGTTCGGTTTACAAGCGCATTGAAGCTTGTCTGGAAAAGGAACTGCAGCTTTAAGTTCTCGTAAAGAAACTTTTGTATTTGTGAAGAATATCGTATATTTCTTTTTTTTTACCGAATTTCCTTGAGTTAAGTGTATACAATTTTTTGCAATGTCATCCCCAGGTCAAAGATTATTTTAATTAATTAAAAGCAATTTGTATGATTTACTCCTTTTCGTCTATGAGGTCCGTGACGACAATAATTTATGATATTCAAAGACCTACATCGGATGTATTTGGCGGTAATACTTCCGAAGGTTGCATAAATCTCTTTAGCGTCTAAACCAGAAAGATTATGATGTATTATATCACTAAAAAATGTTTGATTATAGAAAATATGATTTAATTTATTATCACCTTATGTTAAAGTATTGACTACAAATCACAGTATATTAGCATTTGTAAAAAGTTATACTTATTCAAGGATACTTAAGTTAAATATTGTTGTATGCATAACACTAAAGCATTTCGATTATCATTTAATACTACTTACAATATGCTAAATTTATTTATTGTATATTGTTTCATTTAAAACATTTGTAGTTACATTTAGTTTTGGCAAGCGTATGCGATTATTGTTAAATTTTGTGATTTAGCACATATGTACATTCCTTCATATATCTATATGTATAATATATGAACCTACTCACGCCTGTACCAATTGATCAATAAGTCACGCAGTTTTAGGTAGCACACACTCTTATCCTGCTGTTGCCCGTTGATGGTTTCTCGAAAGAACACTCTTACCATAATTTTACATTTTGTTTCGGCCAAGAGTTGTGACCAACATTCAAAACATTATTTTCCAGAATTTTGAATTTTACCGAATTCTGTTTTTCTCTTTCTTTCTTTAAATTCTTTCACTATACTTTAAGCATTACGCCACCTCCACCAATTTGAAATGACTTTTTGATCTAATCTTGACAAGTACGGACATTAAATTGCAATGATAAATAGAAAAATTTATGATTTTCACTCTCAGCCTAGCAACATTAAGTGAAATGAAAAATCCTTGCATATAGAAAAATATTAAGACTATAGAAACGAGTTTTCTTAAGAGTTAGGCAAATCTTTTTCGAAACTTAAGTAACATTTTTAACTACTGTACATAATAAATCATAAATTAAACGAGACGTTTACCCTTCACGTTGAAAGGCGGTCCACATTGATCAGTGCGCTTTATTCGTTGTGCTATTTTTTGTCGCCGAAGACGTGGTTTTACGCTAGGCACAAGAGCAATATTTCTTCACAAAGCTATCCGATATGCAATGCGAATCTTTGTAATATGAATCCAGGCGGCTTATTTCACCCGTAATATGGATAGCCTCAGTCTCTGGATTGTAGCGCAGTGTTACCTCAAAATCGGCATTATTCGGTTTCGTAACAAAATGTAGACGATACACATCCAAAGCAGTGCCGTTTGCATCCTTCGGTCTGAAAGCGTCATATGAGCGATGCGCACTCACGACATTGTTAAGCTGCAAAGCGCGACATTGAGACGCGACTGTGCCATTCCGAAAATTACGAACTAGTTCATTTATGGAGTTAACCGTTGAATTGCCCAATTTTTGTATGATATTCGAGTTTTTATACACCTTATTGTAGGGTATACAAGTGCACCAGTGTTCATCGATGGCTGCATCGTTACAAGAACGATCCAAAGGCACTGGTTCTAAAAGCGTTTGGCAATTCTGACAGCCTTCAGCCGCAGTTAGAAACTTGGATTTATCTTCAACACGCTCGGACATGCTGAGGAAATGCTTAAGTGTCATGTGCAGATCATACGGTGTGGTCAGACGATTTTTATTCACACTTAAAGCATTTACAAAGCTAGGGTATTTTTGCTTCAGATACTGTGGCAACCAAATAAAGATAAATGGTAATCGTTCCTCCATATGACCGGATGCGGTTGTGCGTGCAGGTCCAAAACGTAGACCGTGATCGCTGAAAAATACGACAATCATATGTTCGAGTATGCCTAACTTCGTTAAACGTTCCAAATAGTCAAGGACTACGACATCCATCGAAGAGCAGTCACTTAAGTTGTTGTGACTAAAAGAATTTGCCCAAAATAAACCGAATAATGGCTGGTCTTTGAAACGTGCGGCAAATTCAATGGCATAATCCAACACGAATTGTGCAGACTGCTGATAGCCGAGGCAAAAGGTGAGACCAGACTTATATGTTTTATGTAAGTGATGTTCCGCAGCTAGTTGGAATGGACGTAAGTAATAGTCTACGGGCGGTTTCGTAAATCCCACTTTGTAGTAGTTGAATGTACTTATATCTGCTGCATCTTCTCCATAACCTGTCACATAGCCATGTTCACGAAATGTATTCCAGATCAAGCTGCAGTTGTCTAAGGCACCCAAAACTCTTGGAGGGCATTTCGTAACTGTATTGTCTTTATTGTAACCAGCAAGTACAGCCATAAAATTCGGGAATGTATTGTCGTCTATCTAATGAAAAAAATATGATTGTAAATACAAATATTTAAATATTGTAATGATACAAACTTTCAGTATCAGGTCATATGCTGTAAATGTAGTCTAATTTGAAAAAATGTCTAATTCAAAAAACTCTTGTTAAAACATTCGTAAAATCGAACTAATGCATTCAAGTATGAGCCCAAACAGAAAATTTAGCGGCAAAGGGCTTACCACCGCTCTACGTCCCTATATTTCAAACATTCAAAGAGGTTCCACAGTAAGGACTTGTAGATATTGACACAATCCCGGGATCGTTATCTAATATAGTACTTTCTATGAACGCCTTGAGGCCGACCGGTATCGATGTCATTTCAGTGAAATTTTTACTAATTTCTCTTAAAACTACTTATAGGCTTTTTCAAAAAATTTGCTATGTGTAAGTAAATCACTAAGACAAGGCGCTTGAGGATAAAATTTGCAATTCCCACAACAACCGGTTCTACGATACCGGAATTGACCTGGATTTTATCTGGTAAAGTGCTGTTATTTCGAGGATCTATCCCTGTTTGGATTGGTAAGTAATAAGTTGAAACTATCATCATTTTTAGAGCAACACCTAGCAGCATTCCTCGGTATCCCCCTGGTCCGTGCTGGCATTGTGCCCAACTCGGGTCCGGATGAATTTTTCTGCTGCGTTTGCGCCAAAAGGCTCCACCATAATTCCATTATTAAATGCAATTCATGCAATGGTTGAAGCCATCTTAACACATGCTCAGGCCTTAAGACACATAGGGAGTAATCCCCAGGTTATATGGCCCCATGCTGCTAATAATAGCATCTAGTCAACCATACAATTCTACTTGAGGATATCGAACAAACCACGCTTTCTTCTGAAGAGGTGGAACTTGAACTATCTGAGCGGGCGTCAATCATCGGTCTTATTTCGAGGTAAACAATCTAAAGGATAATTAAAGAGGGAGTTTCATAGGGTGGTGTCCTCTTCCCGTTTCTGTTTAATCACTACATATCCAAACTCCCAAATTCACGGTAACCATATTTACCAAATGGACGAAGGAGTACTGACTGGACCTTTCGTCGATGACGTCAAAATTCCGACCCTAGCCCTAAATAACCCTAAAATTTTAGGTGTCACACTTGACATTCTGAACTCCTTCTCTCCGCACACAACCGAGATTGTCACAAAAGTGTTGAGACGCAACAAGATGCTCAAGGCGGCAGCACTTGGGCAAGGACAAAGAGACGTTATTGACAACATACAAGGCAATCGGCCGGCCGATCATCAACTACGCAACCCCAATACGGTCGCGCGAATGCAGCAGGACGCAGATGGAGAAGATTCAGACCTGCCAGAACACCGCACTTCGGATTATAACAAGACGGCCCTTATGTCTCCTATCGAACATTTACACAATGAGGAACGCAAGCTTCCTGTCAAGGAGCACACCTCTCTCCAAGCAGTTCCTGTTCGGATGTTTTCGCCAAAATCACCCCCCGGTCACGTGTCTGAAGCGGAGGCGCCTCCCAGGAACACTAGGAGAACATTCCGCCAACACGTCGACGAACTAGCACCATATACCGACTAAGTTTCAGACGCGATCAACTCCATTCACAGCGGAGCTTCATTGACTCCCTCCCACTGAATGGCGTATTTGGAGTCCAAACACCACCCATTGCAGAACAAGAGCTCGAGTTGCCGCGTGAAACAAGACTGACCCAAGCGCAACTTCGCTCTGGGTACTGTAGCAAGTTAAACTCCTACTTAACCAGACTAGACTCCAACATACAAAACTTATGTCCTGCATGCAACGAGTCCCCGAACGACACTAACCACCTCTTTGCATGCCCTGGACCTACTGTTATGTGACTTCGATGACAGTTAACTTATTGCTTTTCCCCAAACAGGGTCTGGATAATAGCCCTAACCACAACAACAGGTTCAAGTTACACCGGTAAACATTATTCAGAAATTTTTTTTATACACCTTTTAACACCTAGTGAAATATTTATATTATTATATATTATCTCATCTCTTATTGCCACTTTATGTACATATACAATATACTTTCGGTTACCTTATTGTAGCCACTTAGTTCGAACCAATCATTGTCGTACAGATATTGGGCTGTCTTCGGCATGGCTCTTATCAAATTTACACGAGATATACTATCGATGCCGATCATTAGAATACTGGGCGGTTTTGTCCGGCCACGTTCAGTATCCTTCTTTTTCCAAGTTTTTAAACGCTCCCGCACTTTTGGTTTTTCATTTATTAATGGATGCCCATTTTTATATACATTTCGCTTATTAGAATCACATTGTACTAAAATATTTTGGATAGAAGGCGATAAAGAAACACTTTTCTTGAAAGGAACACATTTACTAAGTCTGAAAAACAACAAATAAGAAATAGAGATTACATTTAAATAATTTTTATTAAAAACAATTCAGTTTTAATGACAATTTACATATACATATAGAGTATTTATAAATAGAATAAATTTATAGTTTTGAGAGAATCTTTTGCTAATTAGTAGACACTTCGCTGAACTTAACGATGTCATAAATAAACCTGAAGACTTACATTACTATAATTCTGACAATATTAGAAAAACACCATACAAGTGGTTCAAATAGTTTTTGGATTTGAAATTATCAAGCCAAAGACCGCTTACCACTCTTAATCTATATCTACACTCCATACTAATAAATATTATAAAGAGGAAAGATTTGATTGTTTGTTTGTTCGAATGGAATAGGCTCTGAATCCACTTGACGGATTAGAAAAATGCTTTCATCGTTGGGAAGCTACACTATCTTCGGTGAAGATATGCTATATTATATTTTCAAAAAAATCTTTTATTCAATAATAATATATAAAAGGCCGCATTTGTAAAAGCTCTTTATATATGTATTAGTATTAATCCTTATCAAAATTAATTACTTCATATTCAAGACTAATTCAAGACCTTTATATAACTTTTTAAATTATTCGATTTGGAAAATTAAGTATTAGAAACGAGAAAAAAGGTTAACTTCGGTGGCACCGATGCTATAACACAAATACAAAGGTTCCTTACAAGAACTTGATTCCGATCTAATTTCGTGAAGATACCATCGTGAAGATTAAATAAAAAGTGTTTCCATGCAAGCATTTTACTCCGATCGTTCAGTTAATATGGCAGCTATATGCTATACTCATCCGATCTATACAATTGCTTCGAAGATTGAATTATTGTCTTAAATAATAATCCATGCTAAATTTCGTGAAGGTATCTCGTCAAATAGAAAAGTGTCTCATACAAGTAATTGATTCCGATTGTTCAGTTGGTATGGCAGCTATATGCTATAGTGGTGCAAATCGTTCCGACAAATGAGCAGCTTCTTAGTGACGAAAGAACAGGTGCTAAATTTCAGATCGATAGCTTAAAAACTGAGGGACTAGTTCGCGTATATACAGACAGACAGATGGAAATTACTAAATCAACTCAGGGTCAATCTTTTGGGGTCAAATAATATTAAAAGTTTGATGTTCACATCTCATCGTTTATATAAGGTCCTCTTCCCCCAAGTAAGACGGCAAACCAATTGATCTGCTAATATTATATATTATAAACTAGAGGACCCAGTTATCGCGTTGCTGTGGCTAAGGTATACATTAATTACATACTATTCAATACAGTAAAATTGTATTTATGAAATAAAACGAAACCGTAATTCCAATGTAAGAATAACCAAGCGAACCACTTCCAAAGTTGAAAATTTTTAATACTAATTTCCTTCGATTCTTTATTAAACACAAATAAACATAAAATATAATAGGTTATGTGTGTCAGATTACCACAGATTACTAAATAGGTTATGCGAAGTTTGTATACTTGCGTTCTGAAATCTAACTCATAGTATACATATTTTATTATTATTAAATACTTACATTAAAATGAAATCATCACTGGTATTATTAGTATTACCGTCAAAGTCGGTACATTTAATTGTGGCGAGTAATTTTCAAAAATTAGTAAATTAGTGCGATAGAGTTTAATTAAGTAACCACATTTCCTAACAAACGATGCTCTTTCAATATAGTCTATGGCTGTGAATGACGACGACATTCGTTACGCACGTTTTTTAAAATATGCAAAATTAAATGTATTTTTTTCGTAAGAACCTTCTACAGAGTATTGAAAACTACAAAAAAACAACAGCCAAATCGGTCTAGCCGTTCTCAAGTTATGGGCTGACAACGGGAAATGGGTTTCATTTTTATATATATAGATTAGCTGTCTTCGATGCACTTCTTTCTACTTTCCGTGATATTTAGTATTCTCTTACTTTCCATTCCTATAAACAATTATAGTTTATTTCAAGTCTTAAGTTTTGGAAATCATTGTTTCTTTTATTTTTTATTAAAATTTTTGAGAGTAATTTGCTCTATGTATATGCCATTACTAAATTTAAAATGTGTAAAACAAAACTAGGTACAATAAAGATAGCGATTATACCTCTTTAGCGCGGTATACACATATGTACTTGTATCAATTCAACTGGATAACTCTGTTGTTGCTTTTATATCTTAGGTAAATTTCTTAAAAAGAGAGCCGAGCGCAAATATAGGGGCGGAAAAGTAGTATAGCGAAGACATCTATTGTTGGTTATGTAAACTGCTTTATCCCCTCTTTTAATACAAATAAATTCAATAAATATTTGCACAAAACAAAAGGTTCATTAATATTTCAGCATAAAAAGGGTCTTCGGAAATAGCTTTCATTGGGACTGGCAAAACAAATGTATGATTTTGTATTATAAAACCGAAGATTATTTATAATTTAGTCAATGTTATATATATATTTTTTTTTATTTTATTTCATACATTTTTGACAAGGAGATTGCATTTCCACTATTCACCTACAGAAAGGACGCGGATCTATTTTAGCATTTACTATGTTCACAATAGATTTCTATCGTCGAGAACCTCAGCACTTACTATTCACAAAACACTTTAAGTCACTTACACATAACTGAAAAGTCAAACAAACAAACAATCTTAATCACCTTGGTTAAAGTTATTTGTCTCAAAGTGTCCCTGCAATTTTGGTTTACTATGAAAAAAGTAAATTTCTGGTTTGGTAAAACATTGTTTCCAGATGAAAAATACATGAAAAGTGGTTGCCGGAAAAAAGATTTCAATTAATGGGTAGTTCACAATACATACAAATGAGTATTTTAAAGGCCAAAAGTGTCATAATCATCATCATCAAAAAATATATTACACCTCTAATTGATTTTATGTCGAAGAATAAAGCCATATTTTGATTGAAAAAACGTAATTTCACTGTTAGGCCGCGTAGATATTTACAACGCTTTCGTTTTCCAAAGTGTAGGTAGGGTTTATTGCGGCAAAAGTTTGAAATTAAAGAAAATACATTGGTTTTTACAACTCACTTTATTCAATACTTGCTGAAACCTTCCGCGTTGTCTATTATAGCCCGATAGCGACCTCCAGGTATGTTGGAGTAGCTGGCTTGGTTTTCATTAAAGCCCAAATATTCTCTATTGGACTGGCGTTTAGTGATTGTGATGACCAATGTAAAGTAACAGTATGAGTATCTAGTTTCAATTGAGTACAGAGTCTGCTCCTAAGTTTCGGATTATTGTCTTCTTGCAGTATCCAATCATAGTTATTTTTCTCGCAAAGCATTTCATATAACTTCAGTAAATCCTTTTTATACAGTTTTATAATTCTAACGGCGTTCAAGTTTTTTGTGAAGAATTGAAAACCCCAAATCCATGAGCAGAGAAGCATCCATAAACATGCATCTTTTGGGAACTGCTTAACCCTCCTTAAATTAAATGTTTGTCATTTCTTAGCCAAACACGTCTCAAGGGGTTGAGCAATACAAAAGTTTACTCATTTGTAAATATTACATTGCTCCAATTACGGTTGATGTTTTCCGACGCCCAATACAATTTTTTATAATGTGTGATTTTGAAAGTATTGATTTTATTTCAGTACTATTGCGTTTAATGTCAGAACTCTGGCATGACCATTAATATAATTTTGAAGAAAACTTGTGCACTTATAAGGGCGAAAACGCAAGCCAGGCGGCTGAAGATGTGAATAGCGTTTATGGTCCTGATACTGTAACAGCCAATTATGCGCAATTTTGGTTTCGTCGATTCGTTCCGGTAATTTCGATGTCAAAGATGCACCAAGCTCTGGAAGACCAATTATCGAAAAAGATCGATCAAATAATGGAAATCGCCGAGTCCAAACATCGATTACGATTGTCCAGGACCTAAACATTGCACAAAAAACTGTTTAGAACCCTTTGAATACGACTGGATACGAAAAGTAATAATTAAAACATTAATTTTCATGCAAAAATAATGGATTTCGTTTTACTGCATTAGGTATATGGGGGATACGAGAACCGACTTGATTCAATTAATTTTTGACATACCGATATGGTATTATCAGGAGAGGATTCTCTACGAATTCCACTCATGGATGTCATACACGGAACGATAAGTTCGGTAAAAAGTCCACATTTTCAATAGATGCGAGCTTGATCACTTATAATTTGTGTTATATAGGAAGTAGGTGTGGTTTCAATCCGATATCGTCCATTGCACTGTAACATAGGCAGATAATGTTGTTTACAACATTTGGTTGAAATCGGTCAAGTACAATAGATCCCGAGATATGGTACAAGTTATGTCTATTTATTGGTTTTCGATTAATAGCGTTTTGTGGGCGTGGCAGTGGTCCGATTACGCCCAGAAACTCGTCCTTACTTTTTTTCCAAGGAACACTTTACTAAATTTTATTAATCTCATTTTTTACTTAAGTTGTTGCTTGCACGGACGAACAGACAGACAGACAGTCACTCAGATTTCAACGCGTCTCTTCATCCTGATCATTTTTATATACATAACCCTACATCTAACTCGATTAGTTTGAGGCGATATAAACAACCGTTAGGTGAACAAAACTATTATACACTGTAGCAACATGTTGCAAGAGTATAAAAACAGTTTTCCGCGAATTGATCCCGGAAGGAAAAAACATTATAATTTGAACGATTTACTTATAAAATAGTTGATTTTCAATTAATACGCCAATATCTCATAATAATCAAAATTTAGCACACTTATATTATATTCAATTTACTATTTTATTACATCAATATGCATTTTACTCTACAGGTGTGTGTAAAACATACGGGCATTTTGAGTTGTGTATTATAAATTTTTTGGAAGAAAATGCAACACTGATTATAAACACTTTGCGGGAGTGCACACCAGCTGATAAAATACGGGGAATGCTGTATGAAATGAAAACTCATTTTAACATACACGACTTGAAATAAAATACATACATACATACATAAATTAACTAACTAAGTAGAGCACGATGGAGAGTAATAAGTGCAAATACTTATGTATATTCAGAATAATTTTAATTTGCTATTTCTCAGCACTGTATGAAATTTGTACAAACGTCCATGGCAGAATTTCAGACAGGTATGCATGTTTTCGCAAAAGCGCATTTTTCCAAATCTCTCTCTCTCTCGCTGTACTTTCAGACATGACACGAGTATTTGCATGGCGTAAGTGAGTAACATTGAGTCAGTTTGTGTTTGCGTGGAGTTTGAAATAGTGTTGTGCTTGTCTTCCAGTAGTTAAAGTGGTTTATTGACAGTGATGGATATTGAGGAAAATCAGGAATATCGTTCCAAACTTATTACATTAGTTCGCAAAAATAAAGTCCTATGGGATAAGACAAAAAAAGTCCGTCTTAGTTATACGGAGAAAACCCGAATCTGGGATTCAATAGGGAACGCGTTAGGCAAACCAAGTGAGTGTTTCGTAGTTTTTGCGCAATTACACTTTTACACCCTGCAGAAAAGTATATTGTGTTCGAACGGTTTGTGGTTTGATCCCGTAATAAATCATGAGTGCGTGTAGTTATAAAACTAGAAATCAAATGTAAATAAATGTATACATTTATTTATATATGGACTTATCAACTTTGTTTTTGGTTGTTGAGAAAGCCAATACCTATATACATATGTGTATGATATTGTGGCCATGCCACATTAAGTGGCATGTTACTTTTACGGGTGCTATGTTTATTATATGACAGAAATCGCGTTGGGAACTTTTCATACTACCAGATATACATACATACATAGATATGTATGTATATATTTTCAAACTAAATAATTATTGCAATATTATAAATAAAATTATGAATTAAACTTGTCTTAATATGGAGTAAATATTTTTTATCCGAATGATAGTTTGTTGCTCTTCATAAGTGAATATCTTCCATAATCAAATGAAAAACAGCGACGGATGTCAATATACTTCAATTATGTAATGTATGGTAATTTCGATACATAAAGAAGAGTGTAAATAAGTTAATATATTGGGGTATAGAATTCATATAATTATACACATATGTACCTATTTATCAAATCACACTTGTATGAAATTTAGATTTAGATTGGTAGATGCAAAATGTTGTTTAGGTTCTCCTTGCAAGGGGGAACACTGTGGTCATACAAAATATGCAAGTGGATTTGGAATGCATACAATACTGGGTTTACATAGGGACTCTTTTCACGCTCATTATCGGCAAATTCTCTTTTGGCGTCGCTCTGTGCATTCACATGAGCAAAAAGAGTCCAGCAACTCAAAATGAGTTTTGCTGTCATTCCTTTTTATAAAATTTTCGCAAATGTTTGTGCGCTTCGGCTACGCGACACTTAGAGTGTGTTGCATATTTCATTTGTATGTTGGGTCTCACATTTAGTTGCAATGAATTAGCATGAATGTAGAACAAAATGCATAGTATCTAATCGCTTAAGAAAAACTTATGACGGGTATTCCATAATTCACCAGAATGTATTGAACACCCGCTACTAATATTTTCAAGGCCAAATTTATAACAGGAATTTTCTAATCTTTTTTATCTATTTATTATAAAACATCCTTGAATTAATTACAATTCTTGTTTTAAATAAGATGATATTCGAACTAAATCCTAACCGAAAAGGATTTATATGAAGCATTTTAGTATTTTATGTAAATAGAAAAATGTAAAGTTACCATATTTATTAGAATTATTTTATGTATACTCCTATATTATTACATTTAATACCGCTGCTTATGTTATTAAAAATTTAAATTGGATATTTTAAGTATCTTAATTTTTTCCTCATTTACAATTTTTCAAAATATTTCTATTATTCTATGCATACATATTTGCACATTACATACTGAAAATAGATAACAGAATTCAAATTTCTGAACGAATGGTATATATTCATTTGAAACCGAGCGCTCTTGCAACCATTCAAAGAATTTGAAAGTTAAAAGTAATGCTGAAAAGGGAACCAGCGAGCTGTTACGAACAAGAACACAAAGCGTGCCACTCGAGCACGAGTTCCACGGTCCCTTCGTTTATCCTCGTCGTCCGCTCGCCTAAAATAAACCAGTCTGTGGTACAAGAGAGTCTGTTTATGAACTGGCTCCAACCAGAGAACGTAAAACTACAATACAGCCATAAGCAACTGAGCAGCGGAAATGCAGAAACAAAAAATTCCTCTCAGAGTACTCTCAACGATTTTCAAAAAGAAATTGTTATCTGTTTTATGTGAATGGATGAATGCGAAGAGAATGTTAACTACATAAACTAAAACTATAAAATGTATACTGAAATCGTAAAAAATACATACATATGCACATACTATGTTCATAAAAAAAGGATGTATGTATATTTGTGTAAATGCACAATTATTTCAGTGAAAACGAATTAATTTCGCCTGCAAACATATGTATGCATGATCATATGCTGATAAAAATCAAATACTGGGATATACATATTATTTGTAGCATTTTATCTTTTACGGGTTCATGCTGAATGCTAAATGCGCCTATAATTTGTTAATCAAAAAAAAATATATATATATACAATATATATACTTGTACGAATGTATGTATACCACAATTCTAATAAGATTTCAAAAAAAGCATTTATTTATATTACTTAAAAATGCACTTCTTACAACATGTTGTTCCAGGGTATAATATGTTAGTTTTGTTCACCTAACGGTTGTTTGTAACAACTAAAACTAATCGTGATAGATATGGAGTTATATGTATATACATGATCAGGATGAAGAGACGAGTTGAATTCCGAATCTGTTTGTCCGTCCGTCCGTCTGTCCGTCCAAGCGATAACTTGAGTAAAGATTAAGATACCTTGATAAACTTGGTAGACATGTTCCTTGTTATCCAAGTAAGATTGGTATTACAGATAGGTGGAATCGGACGATTGTCACGCCTATTAAACGCCATTAAACTAAGCGCACCAATAAGATACCATGATGGTATTTAGTACAACGAATTGCTTTACGAACCGGCATATATAGTTGAACATTTTTTAAAAGTGGGCGTGGCCGCCCCGCCCTCTAATAAATTTAATGTACATACCTCCTAAACTATGCAAGTTATAATACCTACCCTATCTATACCATGAAAATGGGTGAATTCGGATTATAACTCCGCCCACTCCCATATAACGGCTTCGTTGAATTCTACTAAAAGTGCGATAAATCTATAAATAATATTAGACAGAGCATTTTATACCTGAGATGGCACGAGAGGACTTTATAGGAGCGTATGTCAAATTTAGACAAAGGCATGTCACTGCCCACTTTAGGATTTGAACCAATTTCGGGAGGTAATATTATTCTGACCATTATACATTACAGTGCGAAAATGGGAGAAATCAGACAAAAACCACGCCTACTTTCCATAAAACACAATTTTATATTTTATCACTTTCCAGTATTCAAATCAGGCACCAATGAATGTATGCGCATGTTCATATAATATTTATATAAATATAATATAATTAAAAAAAGTTTTATTTGATTATAAAAATTATGTTTGCAGTTCCTGCAATTTATAATTAAAAGTATGTTCTACATTAATATTCTTGCAGGTGAATTGGTTCGTAAAAATTGGCAGAGCTTGCGTGACCAATACCGTAGAGACGTGAAGAAACAAATGGTAGATGGGATTGAACCATCATGGGTGTTTTTCGATGACATGGTTTTTATTCGAAAATTTTTGCGTACTCGGAAATTCAAAGCATGTCCAGATTCAGAAGAAAACGAAATTGTGAGAAGGCGTAGCCACGCAAGATATATTAAAACAAGATCATATTCGCAGGTCATTCCTACAACAGACACGTTTATGACCCAGATTTTTCATACAGGTAACTATAATATATATATATATAAGTGCTTTCTATGCATTTGAGCTTAACTTATGTAATTATACATTTACAAACAGCAAACGATCATTCAACTGCAGCTGTCAATGAACAACAAGAGCAGCAAGAAAGTACTGTTTCACCTCCATTAGTAAACTCGGCAATCCGTCTTCATAGGCCAATTAAAATGGAAGTGGATAATGAATCTGTTGAAACAATAATATACAATGCTTCTATGGAGGTACGTACAGCATTGAATTTCAATTTTATACTTTTCATTCACTATTATAAATATTTTGTACCATTATCTACAACGCTTTTACCCGCCTTGACATATTTTTTTCAAGGATTCCTAACTTTTGTCCTTATATATGATTATAGCGAAGTTTGTAATGAAACATATTTTTTTATTTTAGCCACCGAATGAAACTGTAAATGGACCCTTAGTACAAAGAGAACAAATTCCAAAAAATCCGACCAATAATTTAAAATATGCGAAGACCGGATCCAGAGTGCGTAGGAAAAGGCGTGCAGTGAGGAAAACCCAGAGAGCTCAATTTTCCACACGATGTAGAAGCAGATCCAATATAAATGAAATATGCACTGCGCCTCTTACCTCTAAAATATCTAATATAGGAAAAAATGTGAGCTGTATAAGTGACGTTCTCATAGAACTAACAGATTCACAGTTGGGAAATGGAGCAGGTACTCATACTCTTATTTTTATTCAATAATTATTTTTTGACTAAAATATAATATTTGTCGATTTTGTATTGACATAAGAATCCACACCTGGAAAACAATCACAACAAACCTCGCCTCTTAGTAATGTTAACAAATCTCCGACAAACATTGAAATACCGTCAATTGAAATTAAAGACGAAGTCGAAATATTAGAAGATGAAAACAGCAAAGTTGCCGACACGGCTGCCACTTCGGAGAACTCCACAAATATAATGGAACCAGAGTGTTCCATAAATAATAAAAGTCCAACAGAATTTACTAACGATACAAGTAAAACTAAAGAAATCGGAAAGGAACCCACTGATAAAGAAGATGACGATTATCATTTCGTGATTAGTCTCTTGCCAACATTGCGGCGCATTACTCATGATCGAAAACTAAAAACGCGGATGGAAATAATGAAAGCTGTAATGGCGGCGGCACAAAGCGATAACATATGAATAAGATCTTTGATATACTTACTATTATTATACTTTAAACAGGGTATATTAAGTTTGCCATGAAGTTTGTAATGCACAAAAGGACATGTCTGAGACCCTATAAAGTTATAGTTTAGGAACCGCCGTTACGGGGCTACTAAAGCATTTGCCTGCCATTCAAACTGACCGATTAAAATCAAGATAAAAATTTATATAAAAGATCTTTTATTAAATAACCTTCATTCGACTTGAAGCTTGTTTATATCAAAAAACTTGGTTAGAAAAAACCAGCAAAATGTTTTCCAGTAGGTGAAAACCGTTGGCCGTTTGCGTTTTGTGATTTAATTATGCATAAAGTTGCTATACAAAATGCACCTCAAATAAAAATATTAGACTAAGCGTTATGACAATTAAACTTGTTTTTGAAAAGTTCTAAGTTAGTTGATAAAATTGTACTTAAGAGAAGCAGTACAATGGAACATAAGTACTATTTGAACCTCGTTTAACTATAGCTGCAAATTTTATTTAAGATTTCTCTTGCATTAATTGTACTTTTAAAATTAAGTTATAACCGCTAGTCAAATATATTCATACGTACACACATATATATATAAAGGCTACTGATCAAAGGCAATTGCGTAGCAGTTAGCCATGGTTGATGTATTATTTATTATTACCATATCTTGTTATGTTACAAAGAAATATTAAATTCACTAACTTCTGGGGACGGGCTTTTTTGGTAGTTTAAATACAATACATTGAACTTGTTTAAAGAAAAAAAAAATATATTTAATTTTGTTAAGAAATGTTTGAAATTGAATAATTCATCTAAGTAGATCTCCCAACATATTGTTCTTTGAAAAATAAAGTTTTGTACTCTCGCAACATGTTGCTAAGCTTATAATAGTTTTGTTATATGTATATATAAATAATCATGATGACGAGACGAGTTGAAATCTGGGTAACTGTCTTTCTCTACGTCCGTCTGTTCCTTGGCCAAATGGAGAGGATAGTTTTGTAGATGAGCGTAATCGGAATATTGCCACTTTCACAAAATGCTGTTAATCGAAAACCTATATTAAAATACAATTTATACAGGCAATCGGCACAGGTATCCTCTAATAAGTTTAATGTGCATATGTATCTCATAAGCCACTAGAGCTATATCAACCAAATTAGGTTAGGACAAATCCTTACGGTACCTCCTTTCATAGAGTGAAAACTGCCCATATAACGGATATGTTAAAAACTCCTTAAAGAATGATAACTTACTAAATAAACGCGTTAGAACCATTTCTTGAAATATTTCTTCGGCTTAGATACTTGCAAATTGCGATAGTAGACAATTTTAGGTTACACCCGAACTTAGACCTTGCATGCTTGTTTTGTTATGAAGTACTTTTTATGAGCAAACCTGGCATCTTTGCCGAAATTGAATGTTCAGAAAAGCATCACTGTCGAAGCTGTTGCGCAAAATTTGCAACGCGTACTTGTACTTCTGTGAAGACGAATATGGCATACATATGGACTCGGACCAAGACCAGGTCCACAAAAAAAGCGTTCTCTAGAAACACGCTACAAAAAGCTGTTAGGTGAAGCATAATTGACGATAAGTTTTCAGAGTGAGTTTGACTTATAAAAGGTTTTGTGAAAATAGGCGAAATTCACATCCCGAATAACGATTAATTTTGAACAAGGAAAAGTGAGAAAACTGATTAACGGAGAAAAGTTAAGAAACGTCAAATTGAACCACAAGGATGACACAGCGTACTTATATATGAACCAAAACGAGTTTCTATAAGATACTTTAGTTTATTATAGACGGCTCAGGCACCAATAAAGATGCATATAAATAAATAATGTGCAAATACTTGGACTTGGAGGCCATATAGCCTTCGATATACCAATTATATTCTGTGAAATTAGATGAGAAAATCCTTTCTTGAACCTAATAAAACATTATGCTAAGTTGTGATCGCTTGAAAAATTTGTGCTTTCCGAATAATTCGATACAGTTACATTTGGGATACATGTATACATATATATCATATATATATATATATATATATATATATATATACTTGTGTATATATAGGTATATAGGATTATATATATTATATATATATATATATATATATATACTTGTATATATATATTATATATATATATATATACTTGTATATATATAGGTATATAGGAATATATATATTATATATATATATGCATACTTTTATCCCAAATATATACACATATACTTGTAAATAACCTGCAAGGTATTATTATATAAAAGCGTTCAAACTTACCTATAGTCCATATCAGCTTTCGTCCCAGTTCCATTGCGCATTATCGATTGGTAACAGCAATGGATACGCCCAGATTTACTGAATGATTTGATTTCGCTCCCTTCAATTCGCAGCACGTACTCCCGTGAAGTAGCATTGAAGGCTACAGTGGTGAGCGGCTTTTTGTTTGAGCAGGGTTTGTATTTCTCACGTTTGAAGTGTTGCATTATGTCCGGCGCATGCACATCTACGTCCGGTATTCGACAGGATTCACTCCAGACAAGATAACCTGTGGGTGGTCGCATTATTTTATATGTGTCATTAGTGAAGGGATTTTGAGAAGTAGAATCAGTAAAAGATTCAGCGATTTGTGTTGTTTGATCAAAGGTTGAGGTCTCAGAAAGTTCAAGAGTCGACAAAGCGGTCGCTGGCAAGGGTAGCTCAGTGTCGGCCGGTGGTGTCAGTAAAGGCCTTGCAGTAACACTGTTAAACCGCGACGTGCTGGCGCGATAAAGTATCGAGTTGATGGAAACTACTTATGCAGATTTTTGTTTCACATTCATGTGTTGCACATACATTTGCGGACGTTTGTATAATTAGGCGGTGGACGTGGCACGGTACATTACAGCAAGCATTATTACAACAAATTGAAATAAGCAATTTTGCAAAATTTTAATTGTGCGAGCAAAATCCAGAATTTTGAAGTTTCGATTTTTTTTGTTTCAATTGCGCCAAAAGCATGCAAATTAAGAAAGAAAATAACACAGAACTAATGAATTATGACGAACAAACAAACGAGTAAAACGACACAAAATGAATACAAATGAAACAATATACAAAAACTAAAATGAAAATAACAAAATATACGAATAATTATAAAACAATACAAAAGTATTGGAAATATCTTTAGGATTTTAAGGTAACTTAACTTACAATATATACACTTAAAGCTAACACATCTAGCAAGGTCAAAACTAGTAATTATTAAACAATTATTAGTAATTTTATTAAATTACCAAAAAGTGAAATGTGCTCTCCCTGAAGGAAAAAAATATTACTTGGAACAAGGAAAAACTCAATATCATGGAAGTTACACCACCTGATTGAGCGAGTACAGATGCAGCAAAGAAGAAGTATTTGCGTTACTAATTTTGCTATTCCCATTTTTTTCCCCTAATTATGTTCAAATGAAGAAGTTTCATTTGAAGAATTCTAGACAAATGCCTAAAAAACTCCTTTCATTCTCAAGCAAGGGTTGCCCTGCTACATAAATGTAAAATTAGAGATGTTTTCAGATCTTCGCGATCGCAAAATGTAATAATTCCCATTAAACTTATAAAAGATAGGAGTAGAAACATATAGAAAATATAATTGAAATACTATCTGTTCAAATTTCCCCCGGACTAGTCCATTTGAACTGTGCGCGCAAACCGAATCGATGAAAATCTTTTTGTAGAACCTTTTTTATGTACGTGTGAAGTTTGATTTCCGTATGGCAGTTGTTTGTTTACGACGCGAAAAGTTTGTCTGGCGATTTTTTCCATGTCGAAAAATTTAGCAACGTGTTTGCTTGAAATGTTGTGTTTCCGAAGGAATCACGGTTACGGAATCTTTGAAAATGTTACAGATGTATTTTGTATTTTAACGATAACATCGAAAAAGTTAAAGAAACAGTGCTTGAAAATCTTCGTGTGGGCAGCGTAGAGAAATCAGAAAATCTCTACATCTCTTATGGATCGACTCAGCACATTTTGGTTAATGTTTTAAATATTAAACTTGTTAATGCTAGATTCGTACGAAAAGACCGGAATCACTACAACGATTTAACGCCTCGGCTTATGAATATTACGTTGAAACTGTCAATCTATCTAGAGAATAGCGTTCCAAAAATTAGCCGAAAACGAAAAAACCAAAATTCGCTAAAGGCACTGAAGGACATCCAAGCCTTGGCTTATAAGAAGTGTATGGAAACTTTGTTTAATCATTGGTGTATAAGACGATAGTAAAGATTTGTGCTAAAATACGTGAAAATGTATTCTTTTTGTCAGTCCGGGTCAAATTTGATTAGATGATATGTATGACATTACTAAAAGCTGATGTGTCTTCTTGTTAGTTCAATTATTCCAATCGGTTTATTGGCTCAGCAAGCTGTAGCGTTTTCTTTAACGTAATCGACTTCACAAAACTTACAACAATTAGAAACCTACATATCTTTTCAAAAATTGGTAAAAAATATGTGCGATTGATAAATATACCATTTTTACAAGTGCTTTTAAATTATTTTCAAAATAAATAAATATCAAAAAAGTAATACGCATGCACCATTTAAAAACATATTAAAATAATATGTCAACCTACGAGTATACTTGTACTTATATTGTATATCTGTACTGTTCTAAAAATACCTACGGCACTGCGCCTATCCAAATAATCAATATATAATATGTAGTTATTAAAAAACACCTGGGCGTATACGTACCCTTCATGCCAGGCACATGTGAATAGTGCAGGACAGGAATGCGCTCATCCGCATAATCACTTCCGCGCATCGAACTACTCAAGTAAACAATGAATATCACAAATGCGAGTAAGAGCAGCAGTTGCTTCCGGCGTAGTACCCGATATGACCAATTGAAGTATTTGGCTGATGGACTGCCTGTTTTGCCAGTGTTCGTGAGGCGTTGCATTGCCTTTTGCCAACAAGAGGACACCGCATTTTTCAATAACTGCTGTCCCGCACATGAAAGTACCTCTGTCTGTACGATTACCTTAGAAATTCCCGGCGATTTAGTGGCATCTGCTGTGAGGCATTAAAAATCAGTTTTATGATTTATAAATCGCTTTCAAATTTACCTTTTGGTGAAACATTTATTGGCGTTGAATCCATATTTGTGTTGCTTTGAGTTTTCGTACCATTTTTAAGCAAATGTTCCTTATCCTCATCAGTCGAGTCAATTGTGCTCACTGATTTGGTCGCCATAGTAGATAGTTTGGTTTGCCGCCCAGAGCGTGTGGTGCATATTCTTTAAGGGGCACACCTAGTGTGAAATATTTCGATAGTTTATACATTAAAAAAAAAACATACTAAAATGTTATTTAGATTTCTTAAACAGTTTTTGGGTTACAGCCATTTAAAGGCGGCTACCCTTCAATTCAATCAGCTCTATCATTTAATCTTTAAATGCGTTTTTCTCAAACAGCATTTTTCCCAGTAAACGATGGCCGTAGCACCGCCCACTTTTAGCTGAAAAAACATACTTCCGGAACTACTTCATTAATTTCAATCAAGTTCTGTAAATAACATTATCCTCACGATCCTATACAGTATAATATAATAATATAACTAATCACAGAATTTTCAATTTGATTGATTTTTATCCATATATGTTGGTGGTGGTATGTGAGGTACCTGAATGAAACATAGGGAGCATTTTATTCAGTTAATAGCATATTGTATTGCCAAACAAAGATAAAATCGGGTCAAAACTACCCTTATCTCTCATATATCTAATATAAGGTATTTAAACTTCCGGTTAGATTTATGCCATATATGTATATCAGTCAATATGTAAGATATCTTAGTAAAATTAACCAAACGTTTAATATTTGATATACTATATATATATATACCACTTCCATGTACTACATCTGGTATATATTCTAATTTTCGTTATTCAAACGAAACTGATGCCGAACATGTCGATCAGTGTGTATTTATAAAATTGCTTGAAAATATGATCTCAAGAATACAGCAGAAATGTCAAAATTAACTCAATCCCTTTCTCTGTCCCCAATAAATCTTGTATAATAATTTCCGACTTTCCAACTGACAAAATGTGTGATGGATTAATGAAATTAAATAAACAAGTTTTCTTAAAAATTGCGTGGGAATATGAATGAAACTGGTTTAGACTCATTTCCTTAAAGTAATGAATTGCAATCCTGTGGTTGACGTTTTACATCAGCTCATTATATTAAATTTACCTTCTTCAGTTGAGTTTATAACCCATATACATATCTCATTTGAAGATGATAAAATATTGTATAACTTAATAAAGTACCAAATTTGATTGTAATCCATTTACGATTTCGTCGAATAATAAATGTTGTATTCTTTCACAACATTTTTATACTCTCGCAACCTGTTGCTACAGAGTATAATAGTTTTGTTCACTTAACGGTTGTTCGTATCACCTAAAACTAATCGAGTTAGATATAGGGTTATGTATATATAAATGATTAGGATGAAGAGACGAGTTGAAATCCGGGTGACTGTCTGTCCGTCCGTCCGTCTGTCCGCCCGTGCAAGCTGTAACTTGAGTAAAAATTGAGATATCTTTATGTAACTTGGTAGACATGTTTCTTGGTACCGTGAGACGGTTGGTATTGCAGATGGGCGTAATCGGACCACTGCCACGCCCACAAAATGCCATTTATCAAAAACAAATAAATTGCCATAACTAAGCTCCGCAATAAGATACAAGTTATTTGGTACACAGGATAACATTAGGGAGGGGCATCTGCAGTTAAAATTTAAATAGGGATATTAAATTGAATGTAGGTATTTTCCCTGCTTTGATCCTTGCAAGTTGCAAGAGTATAAAATGTTCGGTTACACCCGAACTTAGCGCTTCCTTACTTGTTTATTACAATGTTTTGCCAACACCGAAGGTATTGGAGCACAAGTAAGTTCTCGCTGATTTTCTTAATGAAAATGCAATTTTATTGTAAGAAAATGGTTACAAATGAGTTATTCGAAGTATTGCCAACAAATAATAATCCGATTTTGCAATATCTAGTGAATATGGTGGGTGGGGTAGGACTTCCCATTTAAGCGTTTACATGTTTTAACGGGTTTGGCAACGTGAAACCGAGGGTTATCATGCTGCAGAATCACGTTTTTTTTGTTTTTTCCCAACGTATGTCGTCGCTTTGAAATGGATTGGCGAATGACTCCCAAGTTCTTCTTGTGTTTGACACGGACCCGCATCGAGCAACGTCTCCAATTCACCATCTTCGCAGGTTGTTTGCCTTCCTTCAAGCGGACGGTCGTTAATATCAAAACCGCCGTCTTTGAAGCGACAAAACCATTCACGGCACTTTGTTTCACTTGGGACAGCACCGCCGTAAACTTTTTGTAGTTCCCAGTGACATTCAGCCGCCGATTTATTTGACTGAAAGACAAAATCGGACATATTCGCACAACCAAAAGTATACGACACATATGGCAAACTAATTCACTAATGTCGAAACGCAGCTTCTGTTTCAAAATCTAAAATCGTCACCACTAACTACTGCAGCCATCTATTGACAAACAGCGAGAACTTAGTTTCGCACCGAATATTTAACCGGCCTTATACTCTTGAAAGTTGCACGAATATAAAATGATCGGTTACACCCGAATTAAGTGCTTTCTTACTTGTTTATTTTTAGGTTTCATCCACGTAGTGTAGTACTTTTAGATATCGTACAGCTCAAAAAATATTTATCTTAATTTTTCAAAAATTTCATGAAACATGTATAAATATGCCTCGAAATTTTCAAAACAACCGATACAGTAATTTTTTTTTTTTAATTGCCAATAATTCCCTTTTTTAACGCTGTCACACTAGCTGTACCTCTTAACGTTCGAATTCCCTAAATAAATAAAAACAATAATTATTTCTGATGAATTAATTTATCCAAAACGGTGAAACTGTTGTAACTATAGAAAAAAAAACTCTTATGAACTTCAGTAGACTTACTACTGGACCATACCGTCGATTTCTTGATCTCCACGCACTTGAACTACGTCTCATGGTAGATGCAGGGAGCTTACATACCCAAATTTTTTTTCTGTCAATTAATTGACTTTATACGGCAGACTGAAAAACGTATATTTTCCAAGAGAGACCGTCACAAACTGGATTCCACATGTTTCGAAGTTAAACCTTACCTTCCAAAAATATGTCTACGACTTCACTGTCGGATACTTGGTTCATGAGGAATAGCATTTTGAGTCACGCAAGTTTTGGTATTTTGATGAAAATGTATGTATCAAAAAACTACGAAATGAGTGTTTCAAAATTCTGCGCAAGCATTCGTAAATGGGTTCCTAATTTCCGTAAAGGTGCAATGGGTACTATGAATGTGGTAGACGTCTAATAGAGACTTTTACGCATGAAAACAAATGAAGTGATTTTGGATGACCATAAAATTAAAACTATCGAAATATCTGGCACTCTAAAGACACCAATGAAATCTGTTGGACAAATCATTCATAAATGTTTGGCTAAGCGAAGACTCTGTGCAAAGTGAGTTCCTCACAGTTGGCAAAAATATTAACGAATTCCGAATCGAGATACGATAATGGATGAAACATGGTTCCACCGCGAATGTTGTCTTCCAAATGGTTAAGCGTTTTTGGCTTATGCGCATAGACCAATGATTTTACATAACCCCACAGAAAGTAGTCTAGCGGTGTTAAATCAGAAGAAACGTGAAATTAGGAGGTCACCAAACGTGTCTTGCAATAAATCGATTGTGGCACGAGCTGTGTGACATGTTGCGCCGTCTTGTTGGAACCACATCATGGTTGTTCAATTCAGGAATGAAAAAGTTAATAATCATGGCTCTATACCGATCACCATTGACTGTAACGTTCCGGCCATCATCGTTTTTGAAAAAGTACGGACCAATGATTCCACTAGAGGCGGTTTCTTCGCTAGAAAGCCTGCTGGTGTACATGTTTCTGGCATGAAAAGTTTTTCACAAAATTGAATCTTAACCCCATGGTGGATTCACAAAGTTTATTGTTGTAATTATTTTAGTGACTCGAGAAATCTTGTTATCTAATGGTGGGGTTTTGAACATGGGATAAGAGATGTTAGATGCAGAGAAGTGGGAAGACATGAGAAGAAGCTATTGATAAGACAAACGCCCCATGTTTGTTTTACCGAGGTCAAGTCTGAAGGGTTATGAACAATGCATTATAATGTCAAACTGCTGAGAAGAAAGTTAAAGCCTTCTTATACAGCAGATTCGGAAGACATCTTATAAGCTCTAACATTTTTTAATTTATGAGGAATTGATATTTCTAGCCTCTACTATTGGATTAATTTAGGGAGGATCTCAGTACTTAAGACTTTCAATGGGAGAAATGAGAGGCATGCCGATTGTCCCTCTCCATATACAAAGAACCTAATATCAAGTCGAATTTTGTCCATTCAGAAATTGTTTAATAAGCTTAAGGGTGAGGGCTAATATAAAATACTTAGTTATATATCTCGTATTTTCCTGCCTTAGTCAGTAACGGTATACGCACCCATGACCAAACGAACGGTTGTCATGATTTCATCGCACAATATGCAATCAAACTCGCCTTCATTCTTGTTCCTACATAACATTACTTTAGGAGTTAAAAAATATCTAAAGCCATTCATATTGTGCAGCTATTTTAAATTATTAAATCTGCAAATAATCTGTTGACCCTGAAATTTATCTACACGATTCATGTTTCTTTTTTCTTTACATAATGATGTTTTCCACGATCTTATGCATGAAACTTCAGCTTAATGACTATTGTAAATTATTTTTTTTAACACTTAATACACACTATGTTACGAGAGTTGTTTCATGTTGCGACAGGCAATAAAAATGTTTATTCAAATAAAACAATGAGTTGTTGCTTATGGCTTGCATCACGCTAACTGCTAATTACTATTAAAACTATTTTTTGAACATACAAATTTATATAAATATCGATGTGCAGTCGATAACTCTTTATATAATTATATATATATATAAGAATGCATCGAATAATTTTTAATTCGTTAAAATAAATTAATTAAGGAAGGTAGTGTTTATAATGGGCCAATGCCGTTTTTAGGTAGAATATATCATTTGATGAATGGGCACAACGTGACTCAGTCGACGTCAGTGAACAATTGGCAGGTATTATGTAGTTTTTCATATATGTGTAGGGATCTTTTTTGTCATTTAAGTAATTTAAATAGGCTGCAATTAGATATAAATAGCCGGTTGGCTTCAAACCAACTAT